GCTATCTGGGGATAGGTTAAATGTATAGTTTTATTATAACGTGTCTTACATAGTGTATTTTAATAGTAATTCTTGTTTTAGTATCCCCACGTGCATAATGGCGATTTGCCTTTGTCCTGGGAGATAATTGAAATACTTCTCAATTATCTCGAGGGCAGAGGGGAGGAAGCCAGGATGCATTGTGGGAATACAATGTGACTGTGTGTCCTATTTTTCTGATTGTCTGTCTTTTGTCACAGTCTCCCATTTGATCCCCTAGGGGAGTGTCCACCAGGTGGGAGACCTGCATAAATAGTGGGCAGGTAGCCCTCATTAAACAGACGACTGCTTGACCCTCAACACGGAGCCTAGTCTCGTCTTTGGGGGATTTACTGAATGCTGATAGAGACTGATTGCTAGGAGTGTAAGCCGCTTGGATGCTTTTCCTATTCGTCTGCTAGCAGCTATTCGTATGGTTCCAGTTCATGTGTTTGGAGTGCTATATTGTATGCCGTTCGGGAGTTTGGAGCATTCCCTTATTGGCGGTTCGTGAGTTTCGTCTTCTACAGTAGCTGTGCCTGCATCTCTGAAAGGGGGACGATCAGTCAGTCTCCCCCTCCAACAACCAGGCTTCAACCAGGCTACCTCCACAGTAGCGTTGGCACCAGGGCAGAGTACTGCTGGTCTCTGCCCACTCAGCAACCCACCAAATCAGCCTACCAGTCACCCATCAAGCCTTGGTGAGGCACCTGGACATGGACAAGCTTCTCCTCTACCCAGGTGTAGTAACCATTTATTGTGGGTGGGCTGTGCTGTTGATTGTGTTTTGTGGGTGGGCTGCTGGACTAACAAGGGCACTGACCGGCAGGAGGTCAGATACCCTGTTAGTCTGTTTGGAAAAGGGTAGAGATGTGACGAGAGCAACCTCGCCACATTGCATTGGAGAAGCCTGGTTGCTCGCCTGCTGCCTTTGGATTATGGCCCCATGTTAAAAGACTTTGTTTTCCCTTGCAGAAAAGACTTATTCGTGCTTTTCTGCCCGGTGTTCGGTAGATTCAATCTACCGAACAACCGCACGAATGACTAGACCACCTGGGAGCTGGAGTGTGCCGGCAATTAGCCTCCCAGAAGCTACGGTTAACCGCAGCTCAATTGACAATTAGGGGTGGCCGCCATTCAAATACCGAACACGAGGTCGCGGCCATTTTAAACATGCGAACGCACAGCGGTGTTCGACGCCTAACTCATGGAACTAAAAACGGACACAGTTTGGCGCGAACACTGCTGAAGCCGCCGACCTCCATTCTTGTTCGGCGGGAGTGCACGAACGGCCCGGTGTTCGGTAGTTTTACCTGACTGTATTATACCCCAGATAGGAATCCCATGGAGCTCATTCGTATGAGAACTAACTTTGTAAAGACTTTGGCTCCATGGCGATTGAACTGTATTCGTGTGGTCTGAGCGCCATTTGCTTAATAATGTGCGCTCAGACCTGAGCTATCTGTGCATATGTTAAATGTATTGTTTTAATGTAACTTGTGTCACATAGTATATTTTAATAGTAATTCTTGTTTTAGTGCATAATGGCGATTTGCCTTTGTCCTGGGAGATAATTGAATTACTTCTCAATTATCTCCAGGGCAGAAGGGAGGAAGCCAGGATGCATTGTGGGAATTCAATGTGACTGTATGTTCTATTTGTCTACTTGTCTGTCCCTTGTCACAGTCTCCCATTTGGTCCCCTAGGGGAGTGTCCACCAGGTGGGAGACTTGCATAAATACTGAGCAGGTAGCCCTCAGTAAACAGACCACTGGTTGACCCTCAACACGGAGCCTTGTCTCGTCTTTGGGGGGATTTACTGAACGCTGATAGAGACTGATTGCTAGGAGTGTAAGCTGCTTGGGTGCTTTTCCTATTCGTCTGCTAGCAGCGATTCGTATGGTTCCAGTTCGTGTGTTTGGAGTGCTATATTGTATGCCGTTCGGGAGTTTGGAGCATTCCCTTATTGGCGGTTCGTGAGTTTGGTGTTCTACAGTAGCTGTGCCTGCATCTCTGAAAGGGGGACGATCGCCTAAACGGTTTTTACCCCTTGTGTGCAAAACGGTCCGTTACACAGTGTGTGTTGTATTAGTATATGCAGTGTGTGTGTTGTATAAGTGTATGCAGTGTGCGTGTTGTGCGTGTTGTGTTAGTGCATGCAGCGTGCGTGTTGTATTAGTACATGCAGCATGCGTGTGGTATTCGTGTATGCAGCGTGCGTGTTATGTTAGTGCATGCAGCGTGCCTGTTGTGTTAGTGCATGCAGCGTGCGTGTTGTGTTAGTGCATGCAGCGTGCGTGTTGTATTAGTGTATGCAGCGTGCTTGTTGTGTTAGTGTATGCAGTGTGTGTGTAGTGTTATTGTATGCAGTGTGTGTTGTACTAGTGTATGCAGCGTGCGTGTTGTATTGGTGTATGTAGTGTGTGTTGTGGTAGTGTATGCAGAGTGTGTTGTATTAATGTATGCAGTGTGTGTGTGTTATGTTAGTGTATGCAGTGTGTGTGTTGTGTTATTGTATGCAGTGTGTGTGTAAACGTGCAATCTGGGGGGGCCTTTTCTCATTAATATTTCTATTAAATTAATTAAATGTTTCTTCCCCCTCCCTGCTTCTTACCTGTGTCCAGGGAGGGGGAAGATTCCATCCCCTAGTGGTCCGGTGGCATGGGGGCCCCCGGCTCCCTGTTATCGCAGAGGGGGCCCAGCACACTGCTTCTACTCTTCTCCTCTCTCCCAATAACTCTTGTGAGACTCGTGGCCTGCGCGCCGCACAGAGCATTGCCATGGTAACCCGTGGCAACGCTCAGAAGGCCGCGGGTCTCGCAAGAGTTATTAGAAGGGAGGAGAAGAGAAGAGTAGAGGCAGTGTGCTGGGCCCCCTCTGCAGTAACAGGGAGCCGGGGGCCCGCGGCTGCACACATAGATAGCGATATTCGGCTGCTCACTGTTTAGTGGACATGCCCCTACTCGCGGTATAGCGAGTAGGGGCATTGGGGAGATTTTAATCTCCCTTGTGCTATTATGGGGGTCATATTGACCCCCATAGAGTGAGGGGGAACCTTGGGGGGCTTATGAAGTGGCGGGGAGCACTGCTTCCTGCCGCTTCTATCTTTACATATTACAAGGAGGGAGCTGCGTTCTGGTAGCTCCCTCCTTGTAATAAACTGAACGAACAAACGATCACACAGTGATACACAGTGTTTGTTTGTTCGTCTGATTTTTCTATTCATTCATTCGTCTGTCTGATGAATGAATGAATAGATGAAATTCCCATTCGCATGTCCAGGTGTTTCACTGGGCATGTGCGGGAATCTCACAGTCTGTCTAGTGTGGGCAGATGACGTGTCCCACAGGGACTTCATCTACCCACACAAAGATGGCGGCGCCCTGAATATAGATCCGGGCAGAAAATAAAGATTAAAAAATATGTAATATAGGGGCTTAGGGGCATTTGGGGGTGACTAGGGGGTCAATTAGAGATAGTTGAGGTGGGAGGGGGGTTAAAAAAAAAACCAGGATTCGGCATGACAGTGCCGCTTTAAGAGTAGTGGAAGTTGGCACCCAGACCACTCCAATGGGCAGAAGTGGTCTGGGTGCCTGGAGTGTCCCTTTAATTAATAGCATTGTTAATTAGAATTAATTTACAAACGATATGCTTTTTTCACATTATCATCCCATACATTCAAGTGGAACGTAAGTTTATCTAACAAAGAAGAAAGCTTTTATTTCTTTAATTGAGGGAATAGTGGGCGATTTCCAATAGCAAGGAATAGAAGAGGTGGTAGCAATTAGGATGGGTATTTTATGATCCTATCAATTTTAGCATAAATTTCTGAAAATAGTTTGAGCCAACCTAGCTCAGATGAAAATATAGTAATGGATGGATTCAAATGGATGGACAAAAGTGAGTACACCCCTCAAATTTTTTTTAATATGTTATTATATCTTTTCATGTGACAACATTGAAGAAATGACCCTCTGTTACAATGAGAAGTAGTAAGTATACAGCCTGTATAACTGTTTAAATTTGCTGTCCCATCCTAATAACTCGACACATTAATGTCTAAACCGTTGGCAACAAAAGTGAGTACACCCCTAAGTGGAAATGTCCAAAGAGAAATTAAACCAATCTTCTAATTCTTATTGTAATTTCAAGTCACATAACATTATACATTGTAATGTCTGTGTGTTCTTACAGAATGTGAGCCATCTTTTTCATAAATAAAAATTAATAATAATGAGGGTAATTTTCTCACCTTCTATTCAATCCTCTAATTAAAAAAAAAAAGAAAAACAAGATTAAACCTGAAACTGTCTATCAAAGCTGTCATCTGAAACAATAAATTTACTAAATTAAGTATTCCCAAAGATATTTACAAAATGCACATTTCTGAGAATCAATTATATAATAATGTGTGGGGATTAAATTGGTAATATGGCTTATACTGGTACTTTGTAAATAATATAATGCTAATCATTATAACTGAAGATTTGTTTTAGACTGAACTTCGATTCATCTTCAATTTGGCCGATCAGGTGATCTGCAGAAATTCCGATTTTCAAGCACAACATTGGTGCACCTGACACACAAAAACTTGAGCATGTTTTGGTTTGATTCTTGATTTAGGATGCAGTCCCTGGAGCAAGAATAAAAAGGGTGATAAAAAGGAGGGGGTGGAGCTAAGCGTCTGAACTGAATGGAAGCCGATTTTAAGAGCTCCTGACACTTGGTGACTAACCCACTCTAATCTGAAGTACCACAGAGCTATCATTGTGAGAAAATACTCACCTCGCTACCCCTCAAGTGTAAGATACCCACTGATGCCTTTTTTTGTTTCTGCAATCGGGAAAAAAAAGCCGACGGAGATCTGGGGTCCACCTTGAGTTCTGCACCGCACGGTCCACATCGGAACTACTAGTATGGACTGCTGACAACCAGGCTCACCCCAGACCCTGAACAGACTCTCTCATCGGGAAGCCGGCACCATGGGCAGAAGATCCCAAAGTACGCAGCCAGGTGCATACAGCGCCCAGCAGCCTCAAAAATGGCGGCCTTGTCATAGCCCGCACGGCTCAAAGGATATAACCGAGGACTTGGCGGAACTTCACACAACTTGGCCTCCTACAGCCAAGCTGGTGGGCCAGGAAAAGCTGACCCCGGCCACCAAGCAGGACATTGCTGATCTGTTGCAGGAGATGCGGCAGGTGCATGCCGCAGACCTAGACCTACTGTGGACCTGAAATGCAGGCAGTGACCACTTGTACACAGGCATCGGAGGAGGACATCCTGGACCTGAGACAGGAGGTAACAGGTTTAAAAGAAACGGTCCACCAACTATTGACATCCCACTCTACCTTGACAACTAGGATTGATCTGGCTGAAGATCGTAACAGACGCACCAATCTTAAACTTTGGGGCATCCCGACTTGTTTAGCACGACAGAACTGCCCCACTACCTTAGCCACCTTACTAACACGCTTCTTCCGCACACTCAGATGAAAAAGATTGCATTCAACTGATTCTTTCGAATCAAGAAGCCTAAGCAGGCACCAACCACAGCTTCTCAGTATGTTATTATCTGATGCCAATACCTGACAGACAAAAACCGTATCCTGGCCATGGTTCGAGAAAAAACTCTATTTACATTTGAGTCATCCCAACTCTCCTTCTATCAAGACATGCAACACCTTATTATGGTGCTAGTGACTGTGCCCAGTGACACACCAACTACATGAAGATGGCATCGTCTACAGGTGGACACTCCCCAGAGCCCTAACTGTAAACAAAGGGGGCACCACACTGAGACTGTCCTCACTAGACGAAGCAGAGACTTTCCTCCAAGCACTGGGGATCCCCCCAAAACCCATGCAACCAGTAACCTCCTCGACCTTACTTTCCTGGGACTCAGAAAGAATAAGGCCCTTCATCCCCAGAGGTGGGGCACCGACTTGAACTATCTATTCGACACAAGCATTCTGTTATATTTTATCATTTATTATTGTTTTCTGTTTAGTTTTTCCATTGTTCAACACACAACACCACCTCCTGCTCACCAAACCTAGTCAGGTTTGGGGTCGTGATCTTATGGTACTCAAGCATACACAGGTCCCTGATACCTCTAATATGATTCACAACCAGTGTATCGCACTAAATATATATATATATATATATATATATATATATATATATATAATCTTATGCACCCACTCGACTGAGCTGACACTCTTAACAAACACCTACACACTTCTCATTTACTTATAGCAAGATTACTCCACCATGCAGGTGTACTCAAGACCACCTTATGTTTAAAGTGCTCTTATAGAACAGTATCGGCCATTTAACGAGGAGGGTATAGTCGGGTGACCTGTCCTCTATTCTTGGCACAAAATGTTTTCTCAATATACACTGTCCGTCATGGGTGGAGGCCATGTTACAAATACCCCAGAAAATCATACTAAGGCAGTTTGGGACCCTCACACCATGTATCCATGTTATAATACTATACACCAGGGGTTCCCAGCGCAGTCTTCAAGTACCCCCTATTAGTCCATGATTTAGGGATTCCCCTGTTATATGTGGATTGTTAGTGGTGTTGAGTTTGTGCGGATTGTGTATATGTTTGTATGTGGGCTGGTTTTTCTATGAGGGGAGGGTTATTCTGCATTTCTGTGTATATCTAGCAGTGTGGGTGGCTTCCTTGGGTTCCAGTGGAGACCAGGTTGGCCAGGTACAGCTCAAGGACAGGAGCTGCACTGCATAAATTAAGGATTGTACTTTACCACCTTTTCGTATTAGCAGATATCTGAAATTTCACTGGGACTCCTGATAGGCCAGACCCTGTTTGGTTCTGGCAGCCTTGAGTGCCATGAAAAAACACTTTGAGTGCCGTGCATGGCACACATGCCATACGTTGCCTACCCCTGTTCTAGACAATTTGATTTTAACTACTAAGGGAGACAGACAAGCAGTGATCGTGTTTGTTTACAACTTATTGCACCTGTTTTGGATTGGGAGATAGTTTGAAAGGTGAGAATAGGTTTAGCAATCTCGTGTGTCTAGCTAGCAACTACTCCCAGGAGCAATAGGAAGAACTTTTAGTGGGAGTTAAGAGATTGGCAGGAATTTTGCCATTGATTGTAGTGAGACTAGGTTAAGATATGGTTGTTAAACTTTTATTTTTTATTATTAACTGCCTGGAGAAAGAAAATCCTTGTTTATTTTATTTTATTCACATATGATATTCCCAGACAAAATTGAGAGCAAGTAGATGAAGGGGTCCGGTTTTCCAATTCATCATCATCATCTTTAGTGAGGACTTAGTGCAGACTACCAAGGTGGTGTTCCCAATGTCTGGTGGTGTGGCAGTGATGAATTTGGTGATAATTTGTTTTCCTCACACCACTGTTTTAGAGAACCCCCCATACATCTACCCCCAGCCACCCCTCATACGTCTACCCTCCCATACCTTGCCCACACACACATACACACACACACAAAAACACACACACACAGAGAAACATTCATACAGACACACACAAACACACACACACACACAAATTCATGCAGACACACACACACACAAACACACACACACACAAACACAAACACACACACAAACACAAACACACACACAGAAACATTCATACAGACACACACACATACATACAAACACACACACACACATATACAAAATATTTTAGTCACCCTCCTGTTTCCTACCTTTTAGATGCAGGAGGGTGACTTCCCTGGAGTCCAGTGGTGGCTCAGCCTGATGGGAACTCTGACTCCCTCCTCTCCTTCCTCTCACGCGGCTCCTGGTGGTTGCTGGGAGGAAGTGACTGGGGCTGTCACTTCCTCCCAGCCTCTGACCTCATCAAAGGGGGTCTGGTCGCGCTGCTAAAGTGCCGCAGCGTTAACCGGGCCCCTTGGAATTCCATAGCCATCGGATGGCCCTAACAGCATGGGCCACCCGATGAGCCCCTTAAAGTGCGTCCAGGGCCGCAACACATGACGGCGGGCACCATGGTCGCAGGGGAGTGACCTGCCCGGTCACAGCTGCGGCCCCTGTGTCCTTTGTGACCGCGGTAGTTCCACCACTGCATTGCAGGGTTAAGACAGTCACTAGAGGCACTTCCTGCTGCCTCACAGGAGTTTAACTGATCCAGTGTTTTGAAAATACCCATAAGGAAACATTAACTCAATGGGGAAGGTCTAATGTGCATGCAGTGATTACAGCCCATGCACATTAGGTTCCACCATCGATGTGATGTCATGGCAGGAGGAGACTGAATGAGTGCCGAGAGACCTTGGTGTTGGAATCAGGTAAGTAAAAGATTAACCCTTTAATCACTGGTTGGGGGTCGCAAAGGCAGACGGACACTATAATGTTAGGAATACAGTTTTATATTGTTCCTTTAAATTAATCCCCACTATTTCCAACTTCATAGTTCTTCCTTATTTTTTGTACAGCACCAACAGGTACCCACAATCTCTCCTACCTTAAATAAAAAGAAAGAACTGATTATTAAAGATAGTTGTCCTCTAGTCATATTGTACGTCACTCAATTTCTTCCAAATCCAATAAATTTAAATTGTACAGCACCAAATTTTCTCCAAATCCAATCAATTCAAATTGTACACCACAACATTTCCTCCAAATCCAAAATAAATAATGTATCTTTCATATATTAAATGTATTTTGCACAATGAATGCTCTTACATAGTATCTAACAGGGAGATAGGGGGCTCAGGAGCAAAAACATATCTTTGCTATTATAGCAAATTAGGGCAGAATACAATAAATATCTGGGGTATCTCTGGACTCATGAAGAGTCATCCTTAAGCACTCAGGAAAGAAAAAAATCTCCTGTGGAGGAAACCTCTGAGGAACACTGGCTTGAAGGGTTGCCTTTCCCTCTGGGCTTAAGTGGGATATTAGAAGATTTCTGTTTTTTATAAGCTATTTAAATTGATAAATTGACAAACAGATGGAAATCATGCAGGAAGCTAGACAGACAGAGAGATGAACAAACAGATACAATAGAAGCTTTGTCTTTGGTTCCCCCTGCAATCTTACAAAGTCAGGGTGCGCAAGCGTTACAATTATATTCATTTATATTCATTATATTCATCCCCTTCAAGAAACTCCAATATTTCATAGAGAAGAAATAAGTATCTGCACAAAATAAAATGATCAAATCAGGGTAGTCAAGATACAAGTCTTCAGAAAAAGCCAATTCAGACATACAGTATATCTCTATGTCTTTGAAATCAGAAAACACCTATGGATACAGGCTGACATGCTGTCAGAGCCTCAGATACATCTGGGGGAAATAGAATGTTCAAGCAGTTATAGTCGCATTAACATTTATGACATCATAGCATGTTATATATTATGATTTGGATCACTGCACCTGAATTGGAGGTTAGATTATCGTTATATATGTAAACATGTGACTGTGATGTGAATTTCTTTACAATTAATATATATTTAATGTCAAGGAAAACTAAACTTTGCAAATTCCATTGCTTTTTTTAAATGTTTGTATTACTGTATCCACGTTTATACCTTTTTTTCCAACCCACTTTTGGCTTTCTCTAGTCATTATCCTGAGACTACTTTTCTCTTTCCGTCCTCATTCTTCCTACAGTAATCCTGAGTTGCCTCTCAAGATATTGCTCCACTTAGTTTTTAGCAACAGGTTATATTTACTGGTTAACTGAAATAGTTGAGATTGAAGAAGATTGAGCCCTGGTATTTTCAACTCACCTTTTTTTGTCAAATGTGCAACACAGTTGTTGACACTATAAGCACCAAACAGCTTAATATAGTGGCTTTGGGATATAGATCATCCACGTGTAGTCCCTTGGTGCATTACTGATGACTCACACTCTCCAAAGACTCCAGCGTAGACAGACTGTACACATTCATCCTTTTGCCCCTTATATGAGTTAGACTTGGATTAGGCGAAATCTGCTGTAATCAGAAAATATCCTTAGAAAACTTAAAGTGCTTTCACATGTCAAAGCTATCTTTAATCATTATTGCCTCTTAAGTACTTTCCACCATGACCTTTCAAAGTCTCCCCCATTTAACTTATGACAATTATGGATTAACCCCTATTTGCCAAAGCAATAGGCCTCTTATATTTGCAAATTATGTCTATTTTTGTTTCATTTAAACAACCTAATTGAATATTTATATTCCATACTAGTGATGAAGTCAGTTGCAGAGGCCCCT